TATAGTTATTATAATATATAATTTAAAAATTTAATAATATTTATATCACTTTTTATAGTAGCTAAAAAGAGTATTTATTACTTATTTTATTTATTATATTAATAATAATTCTTTTTTATAATTATTATTTTATTATTTAATTAATTTAACTCAATTAGGATATTTTTTTGTCTTTGATAAGACTTTTAAAATCTTTAAAGTTAAGTATATGAAATAAAATATTGATATAAATTCAAATAGTAATGAAAATTAATAATAAGAATATCTTCAGTATAATTTAAATAAGAATATCTTGATTTACTTTTAGATAAGTTTGTAAAAGATAATATTTTTATTTATAAAAATTATATAATAATTTCTTGTAAAGAAAAACTTTGAAATTTGATTTACTGATTTATAAAGATATTTAATAAAATAAATTATTCTTCTTATAAAATATTTATGATATAATATAAAATAATGAAATTGAATTCAAAAATCTTTTTAATTATTATGAAATTAAAATTAAATAACTTAAAAATATTTATATTCAAGAAATTAAAAAAATTATTTCTCTTAATACTAAAGATTATTAAATAAAAAATATATAAATAATTAGCAAAAAATTAGAGATAAATCAAAAAGTACATAAAAAAAACTTAACAAGAAGTATAAAAAAATAGAAGTACAATAAAATATAAAAATTAAAGGAAAAAGAAAATTTAAAAATAATCAAAAAATTAATAAAAAATGCTAATATTTAACAAGTTCAGGATAAGTAATCTTTGAAAGACTTCAAAATAATATTAAATTAATAAAAACAAAAATAAAAATGATACTTGTAGAAATTTATACTTTATCTAATGTAAATCTTAAAAAATAGGATATAAAAAGGATTTATAAAGTTTGATTAAGATATTAAAAAAATTTTTGTAATGTAAGCAAAATTAAAAATTAATAAAAATTCTTACAAATATAAGAATATTATTATATATTAAAATAATATTAATATAATAGTTAAATCAAAGAAAAAAAAAATAATAAATCAAAAAAATCAAAAATGATATTAATAATAATAAAAAAATAAAATAAGTAAAATAATATAAGCTAAAATTATTTTATATAATTATATTTTTAAATCTTTTAAGCAGTAATAAATTTTTTCTTTAAACTTTTAATATATGATATCATGAAGACTAGAAATTAATTCTCAATTTCAAAATCAATTATGATAAATAAAAATTTTTATTTTTTATTATTAATACTAATACTAAAAAAATCAAAAAATTTTTTATTATATAATTTTGAAGAATAATTCTATTTTTTAATATTTTGAATTTTTATATGATGACTTATATAATATAAGAACTCTTAAGTTGATAATATTTTTTATATTAAAAATTTTATTAACTTTTTATTTAAGAAGTAAATCTAAAACTTAATTAGTAATATTATAGAAAATAACTTTTTTGATAATATTACTGGACAAATTTTATATTTACTTAAGTAAAAAATTGATAGAGTTTTTAGTATAAAGTATATTATTGATTTAAAATTTTCTATACTATATCTATTTTTCTGATCATTTATTAATATCTTTATTAATTGTTATATTATTAATTTACTTTTATTAATATTCTTATTAATTATTATATTATTAATTTATTTTTATTAATATCTTGTTAATTATTATTTTATGATTAGTTAAATAAAAAATGATAAATTAATTATCTTATTATTATAGTTATTTTCTAAATTTGATTTAATAAAATAAATATATATATATATATATCAATATTATACAAATAAAATTTTTATTTAAAATTATAATTTAATAAAAAAGATAGGTAAAAGAATTATAAGATTAATAAATAATTAGATTTAAATTAATAATGATAATAAATACAAAAATTCAAATTTTTATTTCTCATATTATAATATTATTTACTAATCTTTACTATTTTAATTAATAGATATTATAATCAATATATTAACTTTAAATGATATTCAGATTTTGTCTGCTACAATGTTTATAATAGAAATACAAGTAGAAAATATCTGTCATTATTCTTTATCTTAAAGCATGTGATAGTTTATCTTTAAAATAATATAAAATAAATAGATAGAGCAGACAAAACTCTCTGCTTCATTATATATAAAATGATTTATGCTAATTGTTAATCATATAGCAAAAAGATTACACAAAAAATAAGAGAACATTCCTGTATGAAATATACAATTAATTTAATAATAATAATAATATTTATTTACTTAATCATCTGATTTTAATCTAATTAAGCAACTCTAAAATAAAATAGGCTATCATTTGAGTAAGAATTAATAATATATATTTTATTTATAAAAAACTTAATATTTATAATAGTTACAAGCTAAAAAATATAACATCTTATCATATTTATATATTATATATAATAACTTTAACAATTCTATTTATATTAAAAAATATGATACAAAAAATTTGAATTAAAATTAATAATGCATTTTTAATAAAGTTAATTAAAAGTATAAAAAAACATATTCAAGGTGTAATTAATGTAAAGGATGGATATACTAGATGGTAATTAATATTGAGGTTAAATTTATTTAGTTTATTATGTAATTTCAAGTTTTATTTTTATTTATTAAAATGATCAAAAGAAATGGATTGCTTGATTTGATATAAAATGTGGTTTTTTTAATTTACAATATAAAAAATAAATATGATCTGATGCTTTATCCATATATAGGCATTAAAATGAGCCTATTTGATTGATGTTGTATATGAAACGTTACTATATCACGAAATTTATCATCCGGGTGATGCAATACTTTTGAGCGCCACTGTATGCCAATTTTAGTATTTTGCTGTCTAATTGCATTATTTCGTGACTGTCGTAAGATTTTTATTCTGTTCTTTTCACGAATTATAGTTGTTCAAAGTCTATATTGTATCTGTTGTGGCTTGTGGACTTTTCGCTCGCAATGTAAATGCTTCTTTTAAATGGTTGTTTTGCAGTAATGGTGATTATATCACTCATTTGTTTTCAATCAATTGACCTGATTATTTTGAGAAGAAAACGAAAAATATTTGCAAATCGCTCGAGGTAATCAAAGCTCCTCAGCTCATGCACGAATCCAACATGATGGGTTTCTAGTTCGGTAGTAAAAGTTGTCAGAACATTATTCTGCATATTCGCATATTGAAATAATAAACGGTACCTTAATAATGACACTCGCGGCAAAGAAAAAAGTGTCTAATCAACAACGTAGTTATGAATATGTCTGCCGTTAAACTGGTGTTCTAAAAAAGATTCTGAATAAGTATTTGAGCCATTATGTGTTAAAACATGTGCAACATTATTAGGAACGATCGATATACATTCATAGGATGTTTTGATTCACAGATTGTTAATAGCTTAGACTTAATAGACTTCTTAAGAGCTGAGGGTGTGCTAGTTAAGGATGAAAATCGCTTTAAAATGTCATCTGTTCTTGTAGATGAGCTGATTTGACGAAGTGTCATTCCTAAATTATTCAAGTCTGCCCCGACAGTTGTAGTCCCTGAAATACATTACGAACCTAGTCATCCAATTCTTTGACCAAGACATCATTTCTGGAGCATTCTATCTGTTGTTTAAAATTGTGCGTGACGTATATGTGAATGGTTATAAAAATCAACGTGTTCCCCGAGAAAGCGTCTACGATACAGAGATGCACAGGATCTTAATTAACTGGATTTCCAAACAACGTAACTTTAAGGTCACTTGTAAGTGGCATAAGGAAGAACATTGTGCCAATGAAAAAGATAAGCACACATGTAGTGATATTGTGATGAAAACTCCGTATCAAAAAATTGTTCTGGATCTTGCAACCAAAACACAACTCGATGCACATTTTGTACGGGCACTTGAATATGGAAATAAGCTATCTGCAGAAGATGTTTGGATAGTACATTCACATGTGAGGATAATTCAACCGAAAATCCTTATTATCCATCTGATAAAGAATTGAGCAAACTCAATATTGTACATTTCTGGCATGATAAAGAGTTTAAGAGTGTACGAATGAGTGTCCGATTCATGGATACCTCTGGTACTTTTAATTATATCAACAATGAGCTGATTATACATAATAATCTTAGTTAAATTTATATTCTATTAAATAATAGTTTTCTATATTAAATATGCTGAGAATATCCGAGAACAAAATTTACATGTATTACAATTTATTTTACTAATAAAAATGAAGCCAACAAATAATTATCATTTTATTTCATGTATTATATATATGAAAAACTTTCATATACATAGCGAAGCTGAAAATTGATAGATCACCCAAGTATGAAGCCATTAAATTGTATTTTTACAATAGATCTGTTACATTCTACCATGATGTAGCTTGATTAGACCCAGTATGGAGAAGATGGAGGTCTAGTGTACGAAGAAGGGGTTTGATATGGTAAATATATCATATAGATATTCTAATTTTTCTTTCCAAGGTCGATTTTCAAATTTGACATTAATATGTTTCCAAGATCATTTGTAACCAAGGTTTAGTCATTCCATAATACATGTATGTGGGCAGTCTGATTATATTAGAAGATAAAAAAAACAAGTTGCTTTCAATTTAGAAATATACACTTTTATTTACCTCCCTCATATATAAACTCTTGAGTGATTTCAACACAACTTTGTGTTTAACATGTCGTTTGAATTTATTTTCCTCATGATTCCTATTTAATGGACTATCCAACGAGGTTACTTTATAAATTGTCCCAAAATCTCCTTTTGAAAGATATTTAACGTTCATATTTTATTAAATATAATAAATTTACTACAACCGGGAGTATTGTGGCATGTACTGCAATGTGTGTTCGATACTGTCTTTGAGTTCACTTTATAAAATGCGTTTATAAAACAAACGGGGTGACCTTTATCTACTATACAACACTACCGCACACTTGCATTAAAACTAAACAAAAATTCGTGAAGAGAAGTTTGTATATTGTGACTTTCATCCTGAAACATTTTAATAATGTCTCTCAAAGCCGAATTTGTGCTTAGTATTTATCAAATATAGAAAAATCAAATCAAGAAATTTGTGGAGTATATCCTTATAATAGTCCAGAGATGCTAAATGGAAAACACTAATGGTAATGTGCGAGATTGTAATAGGTGAATGAACCATTTGGTGAGCGAAGACATGAACTATATCTAGTTTGCTACTAGGAAGAGAAGGGTTTATACCATGAATTACAATACAGACCCGGGTCTCTTACATTTTTTCCATGATAGAGACTCGGGTGGTAATCTTGTAACTAAAGTACCTGTTTGTGAAAAACATATTTTTTTTAAATTTCAAAAGTAATTCTTACAATTGTTTATTTAAGTATTTGATAAATCGAACTTTATTAATTTTGTATATCTAACTTTTATTTTTAACTTACCTGCCATATTGATTGGAAAAACTAAATATGTTAGTTCTGAAAGTTAGTATTATGTGTCTGAATTAAAATAATTAAAATTATTGAAGTGAATATAAAGTTATATGATAGGAAATTTTTCAGGATATATTGATATACATGTATATCTGGTCTACCCCAACATCCCGACAACCCTACCAAACACAATTTCCAGACATAAACCAGAAATTTTCGGGAAGTTGGGAAGAGTTAGGCTTAAATTTTGAGACGTTGGATTGTCAGGTTGTCGAGATGTTGGATTGTCAGGATGTTAGGTTGTCGGAAGTTGGATTGTCGAGATGTTGGATTGTCAGGAAGATGGGTTGGGCGGCACCCGTTTATTTATACCCCAGATAAATAATCGATACATATTGGACTCATTGACATATGGCAGCCGTCAATAGAAACCGAGCAGATTACTAATAAATCTGCTTGGTTTCTATTGACGACTGCCAAATAATATGTCGATTATAAGAAAATCGATTATCAATTATCTTGATGTGAGCGCATTTTATAAAATGAAATTCAAGAGTGTAGTAAATGTATCGATTGTTAAAAAAAACGAGTGCTGTATTGATTGTTTCTTTTATCACAAATGATGAAATGAAAAGAATACGACAAAATTAGAGAATATGGATTATTCGATGAAGACATTTGCTAAAGTTGAATATCTTGTAAAAAGAGTTTTGGGACAATTTATAGAGCAACTTAATTAGATAAACCATTAAATATCATGTAATGGTACGAAATTGTAACAACTTGATCATTATGTGAGCGAAGTTATGGTACATCTCGTATTTTTTAAGATACCAAATATTGTTCCCGCAAATTTTTTATTGAAAATGTTGATAATTTACCATTTTATTGATCGATGCCAAATCAAATAAGGGTCAATTTGTGTGTTATATAAACGAAGCAAAGGTACTATTTGACATTCTTTTTTTATTAACTTTTTTTGATAATTCAAAAAACTTAAATAAAATTAAAGAGAATGCAAGTGAACTTACAAGTAAACTACAAATTCATGATTGTAGTGAAACGATCGTTGCGATAAGTATTTGATCACTATCAACTTTTTTAAACCTGAATTGTTTAGCGAAAACAAAGGACATCAACAATCTAATAAAGAATGCACGAAAAGCGGAAGGCATTTCCAAATGGATCCCTTTTGACCAATGTTAAATCTCTTGCAAAAGGAAGTTATAAAGCATAACTATACCGTTACAAGTGGAATCATGAAGAAAATAAACCGATTTAGTGACGATGACGATAAATGCAAAGTTGTGTTGAAACTACGTTGTTCATAAAGGAGATAGGAATTGCACAATTTTTTATTTATAAACGAAAATAAATTCAGACTACGCTAAAGTATAGTGACGCTTATTTTGAATAAATTATGGAATAACTAAAAAACCAAACTACAAATGAATACTGATAGTAATGGGTTATCCAGAAAAATATTATCTTTGCAAATATATACGTTCCAACTACGAAGAATTGACTTGTGAACGATTAGTCGAATCGATCAAAAAAATTCACGAAGAGGAACTTGTGTATCGCGACCGCCACTCTGAAAATACTATCGTTATTGCTTATTGATGCTTTCATTGCCGATTTTGGACTCAAAAAATCTACGAAGTACATGTATTGCTTTATATGAGTTCAGAGATATAAATGGAATACCATATAACTGCAAATATTGGTGAGTCATGATAGAAATCTCGTATTAGACATTAATGATGGAGTACGACCTATATAATAGTGCAAATTTATTATTGGGATCCTATTCCAGAAAACGACCTTCATTTGGAACACACTTTGTATATTATAAAATAAATGTGTGTCTATATCAGTTAGAATTGATATTTATCTTGAAATAAAGATTTTACTGATATAAATTTCATTTGAGTAGATTTGCTGTTTTTTTCGTGAAAATTATTTTTTGTGGCTTCATCTTCTCGCCAATGCCAATGCACTTCAGGATATCAATATTGACATAGCAATAGATAGAATAGATAAAGTCAAGAAGTTCCTCATCAGTTTTTTCTGGAATAGGAACTCGACATTTTCATGACTTCATTCACATAATGATTGTTCAACTGAATTCATCACAGTAGTAATAATCTTTTTGACAATAGTAACATTTACTACAATCTTTGAGTTTCATCGATTATAAATGTAGAACATGAAAAAACGACAAAAACGTGACTCGCAATCGAGCAATCAAATTGCATTTAAATAACGAGCTCTGATTGGTCGATTGTAAGGCACGTGGTTAACGTTGTCTTAAATTCTATTTGCCCAGTGACTTTTATCAAGCTTTTTAATTGATCGTCTCATATCACGTGATTGAACGGATTGTGTGATAATTTTCAGAGACTAGAACCTTCGAAATAACGGATTTTCGCTTGAATGTATAATATTAATATGATCAATCACCTGGTTAAAATGATATTACGTAATATATGTCACCGCCCTTAATGATTTTTTAAGATCAGGTTAGGTTAAAAGGTTATATAATTAAAGATCACATGAATTTCAGCTTATTTTGTATGAAAGATGATCTAAAACATTGTGTTTTGCGAGTTAATTCCAAGCTCGTAATTGGAGTGGTATTTAACAACAATGTTAGGGAGAACTAACGAAAGTATAACCTATCCGTCTAGAAGGCAAACAGTGCAGCCATTATATCCATGCTGAATATTTTGCATTTTATAGGCTTCCACACAAGAAACACTGATACAGAACCAGAAAATTCTTAGACAATTTGATTTGTAATTGTCAAAGATTTTCACCTCTTTTAGTTCCGTCTATTATTTTCGATAAACCTGATGATAACTAAAGATGTAATACATACAAGTTTTAGAAATGTACACGCATTGCTTGAGTCGGTATTGATTCATTCGGGCAGTACGGGCACTTAAACCGACTACTATGAGAATCAGATTAATATATTAACTTGTAATTTATCATTCATGTAACAAAGCTTTCTGTATGAAAATCTACCTTTGTCCTTTACTCAATTTATTTAGACTCTCTTTACAAATCACGTGTCCACACGGCATCATCATCGGCGGGTTTTCTTCTGTTGCTTGTTCCTTTGACACCGGGCACGCGAATATCGAGTGATATCGCATATCATCTGTCAATGGAACTTCAACCTAACAGAAAAAAAATCAGGAAGCAAAGAGAATAAGTGGATGAGCAGAGTGATAAAAAAAATAGCAACAAGATTTTTTTGTTAGTTAATTAGCTACCGGTAACTCGTTTTGCTGACTCCATTCGTTTTTCTTCTCTTTCATGATGGTTGACATTTTGATGAGCCATGGTAATGCTGTTGCACCTACTGTCACACTTTACAAATAACATGGACAGTTTATATATTTGCTTAGGTGACCACCAAGATATATGATTTAAGGTATGAGGTATTCTTATTGTTTACCTTATAAACAGCGGACTTTCTCTTGAAAATCCCAACAAACTACAAAAATCTGTTGCAAAGGTATTCTGTATATTCGTCCAGCCTTCAGTAGACAGAAGATCAGCATAAGGAGAGGATTCGAGGCGATTAATATATGCTAATGATCCCATTAGTCGTCGAATTTCTGCAACACATAATTGGCGTGAATATTATGGTACGTGCAAAAAAGACGCACATTTTCTACATACCTCGAAAATGTTGTGTGTTGAAATATTGAAAATTCAATTGTGCGTATCGTAATGACTCGTCAAGATATTGATCTCTTAGATGTTGGATGAAGTGGAGACGATGTAGTTGGAATTCTAAGGAACTGCCGCGTTTTTCAAGTCTTTCTCGTTCTGCTCGTGCCCATCTATAATAGATAATTCATATAGGAGAAGTCAAATGTCAAGGGTGTGTATATATATATATTTTACCTCAGCAATGAACAAATATTACTAATTAAAAGTCATGTTATTACATTAGTGCGGGTTCAAGATTATATTCTCTGATCGCCTTGAGGATTTCATACATTTTCACAAACTGTGCTTGTAGTTCTGATGATATTTCAAGCCCTGCCTCCTATACTCAAAGAAATCATATTTAATATAGTCATTCCAAAAGATCATGAAAACACAATTTTTCTAATATGTCTAATGCGCACCCGCATAAAAGTTCTTCCCAGATCAAATTTTCCTTGACATATAAAATGTAACGCGATAGTTTTTTGTAGGATCTTATCTTTTCCCTCAAATGCATCGGGATTGCTTGCCAGTGTGACATCATGTCTCCATTTCTAATAACATGAATCATCAGAATATGTAAAAAGACGGGAAGTCAAAGCGTGAAGGATTTCATGAAAAAACAAGCACCTTATCAATAACTTTTCCATATTTAGCCAAAACTGCCTGATACTCTTTGTGTTCCTCGATTGTCTGTGTCGAGATTTCTTTGATGTGTCTGGAAAGCAAAGAAAGTGTTTCAGAAGTGTTTTCGGGTGCTTTTGATTAATTAATGAGGATAAAAGAATGAAATAATCAATTATCAAATATCGGGTGGATTAAAGTGTTCGTATTTAGCTATGATTGTTAAGATAACATACATGCTGAAATATGGTCTATTGATTCCTTTAACGCATTTATAATCTTGTCAACGCTCTCAACAGAGTGGCTAGCGAGCGCAGCCTGCGTGTTCGCTACTATCTCGTTTTCACGTAAAAGGGGTTCCATTTTGAAAATCTTGGTTTTGTATTTTGGAAAAGTCAGCAACAAATATTAGCAAACAAATAACAGCAACGGTAACTTTGAGTGGGTTAGGTGATATGTATAAGATTGGTAATCTCATGATTTATACTAAATTTGGAATTGTTTAATTATCTACGAAGTTTGTGTGAAGCAAAAAACTGCATTCTTTTTATTTATTAAATTAGTGCTTTTGTTATCTGAAATCCGTAGTTATTACTACTGAATGACATGCATGAAACTTTGCCCAAGAATTACAGTAAATTAATAAAAATGAGTTTTTCTGATCTTTCTGCTTCTACCAAAGCTCGCAATTAGATCGAAAGAAGAAAGGTAGGTCTTGAATCAAGGAGATTAAAAAAAATTTGGATGCAAAGAAATAATCAATAGTAAAGGAAAATTATTTTACAAATTGTTCTTTCGTCAAATATATTTTAGATATATTTTAATAATGATAATAAAAAAAATCGAGAAAAAGATTAATAATCTAATAATGATTATATAATAAACAATTCTTCTCTCAAACACAATATTATGCGATCCTAATTAAAAGATAAGCCATGAGAAATAAAGCAGATTTAGATTTGTTTCAACAAAAAAGAAATCGGAGAATTGGATTATAAGCCTACCGCAAGATCGTGTATGCGTTGGATGCATAATAAATTACAGAAAATTAAATTCCATCATGCCAAAAAAATATTTACACGACAGTAATGGGCGTTGTTGTAGTAGCAGTCTCATTTCTAGCAATATTATTCTGACTATTGGGCTCCAGGCCAAAATTATTGTCAGACGGCATCCTTAATGCGGCGACTATCTCTGCCATCGGATCTGGTTTTTGTTCAATGGTCGGTATTGAATCTTGTGATGAAAATGACGGCAGTGGTGGTGGTTGTGCTATCATATTCGGTGGATTAGCCACTGAAGTGAGAGTGGGTTTTCTCTATTATTATTGTTATTGTTGTTGTCATTTGTGAAAAGGATATTAAATGACATGTGAATATGAAAAAATAATGAATAGATGATTTTCACTACAATACTAACCTTCACTTTAAATCTAGGTTCAGCAGCAGGAACACTTTGGTTCTTTAACGCCGTTATTTCCGAATTATTACTGTTATCGTTAATGTTGCCATTTACGTTATTATTACTATTACTCTGTGCATCTTGAGCCCTTATTTCACCTGAAGATTCAGGTCTTTCTGTCATCGATCTGTTTATTTCAAGACGCAACGCAGCGGCAACTTCTGCCATTTGGCTTCTGATTTTTTCAGGCTAGAACAATTGCAAGATCCGTAAAAATCAATTAATGAAATAAATAAATAGTAAATCAAGAGAAAAACTCACATCAACTTTGCCACTTCGCATGTCTGTTATCCCGATGTGGCCTGTATGCTGATAAATAAATAAATAAAATCAAATATGGTTAAATCAATGCTCTTATTATAATAGTGAGAAACGCGTCGAATGATTTTGTATTTATTATCGCTTCGTCAAAATGAAACATCAGAATGAAATCGAAAAGGAAACGAGGGGACTTACTTGGAAATTTGACGGCAACCCAATCAACCCTTTATGCACTTTCTTTTTAGGACGTTTCACGACTCTCGTAAAGGCCGGTTGATTCGTGGTAGTTTTCCCCGAGATGCCACCATTACCGTGAAATCGATTCACATTTCTAGATTTACCAGTTTCCGAATTAGCTTTGTCTTGTAAGGAAACACAGCTTCCCATTTTTTTTTTGTGTGTTGACAAGTAAATTGTATATAAGCACGCGAATAAAAAAGCAGAGATAGGTAGCTCACTACTTGATGAGTTAAAATAAAAATAAATATCGGACTGTATGCTATGCTTGTATAAAAATAAGTAAAAGTTTAAAAATAGAGTAGAACCCAGGGGGAAAGAGAGGGGACAAGCGAGAGAGAATAGTTGATGATAAAAAAGGAAGCAGCGATAAAGTTAACTAACTAGCTAGCTAGTTGTTCGGTAGAAATATAAAAATTTCGGAGTCGTTAATAACAGAAAAATTTAAGTTGTAATAGTGGTAATAGGAAAAAAGTGAAAAAAATAACGCCGCGTCGTCCAAAAAAAAATCAAACACGGATAAGTGAAACGTTGTTATATGCAGGTCATAAATTGACGAGCATCTGGGGCGTTCTTCGATATTATTTATTATTAGCAGCGATAAAAAAAGGCGAGCGAACGAAAGAACGAACGAGCGCAACAGAAGAAAGGGCAATTTTTAAAAAAAAGGGGAAAACTGAATAATATGCAATAACAGCAAATCATGCATTTGGTGAAAGCAAAAGTAATTAATTTGTCGTAAACTTGGACGACATACTTAACCGTCTTTGGTTTGATGTTCTTATAATTACGACGTTAAGGGGTCGGTCACAGACAACGGGTCTTGTTGTCTGTTGTACAATTACATACTATATACTATTACAAATTGTTCTTTGTTCTGGCAAAGGTATACAATGAGATGAATGACAAAACTAAAAATAAAATGTTTTGTAGTTTGTAACATAATGAATTTGACGCGTCTGTTCGCGCGATTTTTTTATCTCTGAAACTATCTGCAAATTCGAATGTTTATAAAATGATAAATGCTGCTGTTCGTCTAATTTCTTTCGGTCAGAATTCGTAATTGTGAACATTATGATTTGACCAAGGTTTAGCATCATAATAATGCCGGCCTGCTTTAATAAATTAAGACCGAATTTCACATGGTTATAGCATAAGAGCACTTACAGTACGACTATTTGTTACACAATCAGAATTCTTAATCGACCGGGCAAAAACAAATCCGACTCAAAAGTGAAATGAGTGGAAATAACATAATTATGTTATTTCCACTTAGTTTAGGTTATGACCACTTAGGTATGTGTCATGATTCATTTTTTTCGCCACACACCAAGGTGTCATGATTCATTTTTTTCGACGCCAAGCATAATTCCGACCTTTCTACACGTGATACCATGTTTAATGAAATTCTTGCTAATCGTGATGCCCGA